GGGGGGCGGGGACTCACGCGTGTGCCCCACGTCCGGCAGGGTCAGCAGCGCGGGGCGCCCGGCCCGGGGGCACCCCGAGATCCAGGCGTGCACCACCCCGAAGGGCGTCTCCAGAAGGTGCTGCCAGGTGGGAACCCCCGATCAGCCCGAAACGGGATCCCGGGCCCCAAAGGCGGGGTTTGCTCCCCAAAAACCGCCCCGGAGCCGGCGGGCTCGGGAGTGGCCCAAAAAGAGCGGTTTTACCCCCGGAACCGATGCGAAACCCCGCATTTTCACCCCCGCGTTCCTGCGTTTGACCCCAATTCCTCGTTTTCACCCCAAATTTGCCACTTCCCCCCTCCATATTCCCTCGAAATTCCTTTCACGCCGAATTCCTCATTTTTTCCTCCTAAATCCTCATTTCTGTCCCCAAATTCCTCGTTGTTGCCCCAAACGTCCTCATTTCCGCCCTTCAAATCCTCAGTTTCGCCCCTCAAATGCCTTCTTTTCACCCCAAAACCGCCCCTTTTCACCTCCCAAATCCAAAAACTTCTCCTTGATCCTCAGAACTGGAATTTGCACTCCCCAAGTCCCCAGACTTTGCCTTGAAATGCCCCAAATCCCAGGTTCAGCCCCATTCCCCCCTCCAAAATTCTTCAGGTTTTTTACCCACCTTGCCCTAAAAATCCCCAGTTTGGCCCCAGATCCCAAACTTTAACCCTGCGATTCCCGGCTCTGACCGCAATTTCCCCTTTCCTCCCAAAACCTCCCCTTTATCCCCCAAACTCCGCTCCCAGATCACCAAATCCCAGCCCAAATCCCCCTTTTTTCCCCCAAATTCTTGAGTTCTTCCCTCAAATTCCCAATTTCCCCACCAATCTTCCTTCTTTACTCCCCAAATACCCCAATTTCCACCCAAACCCATCCAATTCTGTCCCAAGTTCCCGGCTTTTCCCCCAGATTCCCTCATTCTTCTCCCCAAGCCCCCCTTTATCCCTGAAATTCCGCCCCAAATCGCTGTTTTCAACCCCAAATCCCCCTTTTCCCATCCAAAATTCCCCCTTGAGCCAGCGAATTTCACCCCGAATTCCCCGATTTCCCCTCCGAATCCCCGAATTCCCGCTCGCCCCCCAAATCCAGCCCCGATTCCCCAAATTCCGCCCCTTCTGCCCCATTTCCCCGCCCCCAAATTCCCGAATTCCCCCAATTTCCCCCCCAGCCCTCCCCCTCCCCCAATCCCGACCGCACCCCTCCCCCTCCAGCCCCTCCCCCACGCGACCACGCCCCGAGATTTCCCCCCAAAATCCCAATTTTACCC